ACGTTAGATGCTCATTTGTTCATTTGTTTGAGAAATTAAACCTCAACATGGTAACTATTACCTCGTATTGTATCTTTATTGTCGTATGCACACAAAGTACATAGTGGTGGATGATTGATACCTGATCCTTTATATCGGATCCTAACTAACTTGTAACAAGTGGCAGGTTCAAGGGTAGGTGGAGTGGGGAGGGTAGAAAAGAAAATTATATTCAAATTTAAGTCTGAGAGGGCCATTTCCAGCAATCTAGAGGTGCCATAATCATAAATCTGTGAAAGTCCCTCCCTGAACTCATGTGTCATTACATAACATTGATAATGTTCTTAAAGTACTTACTCGATGTGTGATGTAGTACAGCTGCTGGCCAGCAAAGTCCCAGATATAAGTCATATCTTTGTTATCAATGGCCTGTGAGGTCTTTCTAGTAATTCTATCAACAAGTCTTTCCTGAATTTCAGATGGAAGTGCTTGGCTTGATACTGATTAAATAAATTCAAATATTAGCAAGGGTGGTAACAATATAATTAGGATAATAATTTGAAAGTAATGACCACAGTATTGAAAATAATAGTCAGACAATAAGTTTATCCATGTTGATCGTAGGGGTCATTCACAATTATCAAAATGTCAACAAGTGTACATACAGTAATGGGGAGGGGGTGGTATGAAATTATGTACACTTCTATATATGCACAAAACTGTTAATTCAAAATTACCTGCAATAATAAAAATAATTGATTTTATGACCAATTATAATGCAACCAGGTTCATAAAAATATTTATATGCATTCAAGCACTTTACTTCGGTTTGCTACACAAAATGAATACAATGGTTTTGCAAAAATCAACATTTTTCTGTACACTGTCAGGGGAAGGAAGAGGGTACCGAGAAAGAGCACTGTTAACATGTGAATAAAATATAAATATTATTTTTTTTAAATATTGATTAAATGATAACAACCTTCTTTGAGTTCTGGTATTCTTTTTGGTGTTTGAGATGGGAGTGCTTGGCTTGAACTAGTGGCTTGGTTTGTTTTCTGTTCGTCTGTTTAATAAAAGAATCTTCACATTAGAATGATACTGATTAAATAATTTCAAATATTACTAAAGGTTGGTAACAAGAAATATATTATAGAAAGCATACAATGGGGATAAAACTTGGAAAGTAATGATAATATTACTATGATGGCAACAGTGTTCAAATTATTAGACAATTTTCTTTGAGTAATCTTAAAGATTATATATTTTTAGATTAAATTTAATCTATAGTGATCTCACTTTAAAATGTTGTAACAATAACGATTACGGTTTGTTACTGTTATGGTTACAGATATGATAAAACTATGAATAAAATATCCAACTATGTATTTTTCATTGAATATTGATTAAATAATAACAACCTTCTTTGTGTTCGGTTTTTATTGGTCCTGACATCACATCATACTGTATAAAAATATAAAAAATCAATGAATAACACTTTATTTAATACAAAAATTAACTTTAAAAAGGATTGACATTTCAGCTCCATCATGGACACATTCTCAAGATCAAGTGAACTAAAAAATAAAACAATCCAAATATAGGTAACAGGGAGATTACAAACATTTACCTGATTAACTGCTACATTTACATAAAACTAGAGCAAGTTAGCTTAATCATGAAATGATTAAATGATGATAAAATAATTTACTATTATGTTCAATAGACAATTAGCATATATATTTAATAAATTTTACTTCAAATACCAAGTTAAGGTGTGCTCTGTGAGACATATCCAAACAGGAATTTGAATAGAATTGTGGAAAATGAGTCTGGCTTTTGTTTACTCAGTGTTTTTGACACTTTTTCATACCCTAAATGTTTTGATACTGTTCTATTTTTTAAGGATGTCCTATCACAATTTTGTGTGCCACTGTTACAAGAGTTCATATGGAATAAATTTGACTTTTATTGATGATGTGCATAACTTCCCTTTTAATTGATATCTTGCTAAATTTGAATTGTTCAAATTCAAGCTTAGCACAAGATTCAACTTGTTCACCACCATGCTCAAAGTTGTATGTGAATGGCACTACTGTTCAAGTTCAAGTTCAAAAGTACATTCATTCATAGTGGTCAACATACAGATACATAAACTATACATACTGTAAGTAAACACTGAAATAAAATAAATAATAGTGACCATCATTGGGATCAAGATTAAAAGTGAAACTTGTCTTACCCTGACCCTAATGTTTAAAAAAAAAAAAAATACAAAACAAAACAAAAACAAATAAATAAAAATAAATAAATTAACTGTGCTAATATCATTCATCATTGAACTGATTGATTCATGCTACGGAGAAATTAGAAGCTCACATTGGATAAACAGTTTTGCTTTTTTGGAATATTTTGTTTTTTTTAAGTGATGGCTTTAAATCCTTTATAAAACATATCCATAAATTTAAATGTGTATGAAGGAAATATTTAAACTGATTCTGGGTAGTATTTCCTACAACTCAAACTTAGAACACAGCAATATGAAAGAAAGGACTACTAATTTGTTTTAATCATTTTGGAAGCTTCATTTAGAACATGTTTATATATAATCTCAAGATATAAAATATGATACAGGTCATGTTATGATATTCATTTAGGCACGTTTGCCAAGAATTGACAATAGCTAAAGTAATCACTTTCATATTTAATATGTAATAATCATTTACATAAAACGAATACATAAACCAAGTATCATTATGAGGATTAAGGAGTGGAGTTGTTGTATACCATAAATTAAAAAATAGTACCACCACTCTTACAATTTTTAACAGGATAATTTTAACATAATTTTGATAAGTTTACAGAATAGTATATTTGGATGTACCTTTGGTTTCTTTGTTTTCAGTTTTTCTATTCTTCTGTTGTTAGTTTGTATTTTCGTAAGCAGTTCTTGTTTAGGTGATCTCCTTATTTCTAGGCCCTGCTTTAGAATTGTTTAAACTTTGTTTCAGCTTCAATGCCCCCTCGCTTTTTAACTCACTCCCTTTAAAAAGCTGAAATTCTACAAGCATCTCATCCTTTAAATGTAACCTCAAAAGCTATCTCTCTCTTTCCGTGGTTTAGTAATATTTTTCCCTCTGTCTCCCCCCACCCACCACATCCCTCTCTCTTTTTTTCTTCAGGCTGGCCCTAAACTTATATATATTTTTTTTAAATTTGTTTGAATTTTAACTTCGTTATTTTCTTTATTTTGCCATTATTATTCTTCTTTTAATTTTTTTTTAGTCAATTTGATTTTATTTTAAATTTTATTTATATAATATGTATATATATTGTAATGATTTCTTTTCCATCATTATGAAGATTAAGGAGTGGAGTTGTATACTGTAAATTAAAAAATATTACCACCACTCTTACAATTTTTAAAAGGATAAATTCAATATAATTTTGATAAGTTTACAGTACAGTATATTTGGATGTACCTTTGGTTTTTTTGTTTTCAGTTTTTCTATTCTTCTGTTGTTAGTTTGTATTTTCGTAAGCTGTTCTTGTTTAGGTGATCTCCTTATTCCTAGGCCCTGCTTAGAATTGTTTAAACTGTGTTTCAGCTTCAATGCCCCCTCGCTTTTTAACTCACTCCCTTTAAAAAGCTGAAATTTTACAAGCATCTCATCCTTTAAATGTAACCTCAAAAGCTATCTCTCTCTTTCCGTGGTTTAGTAATATTTTTTCCCTCTGTCTCCCCCCACCCACCACATCCCTCTCTCTTTTTTTCTTCAGGCTGGCCCTAAACTTATATATATTTTTTTTAAATTTGTTTGAATTTTAACTTCGTTATTTTCTTTATTTTGCCATTATTATTCTTCTTTTAATTTTTTTTTTTAGTCAATTTGATTTGATTTTAAATTTTATTTATATAATATGTATATATATTGTAATGATTTCTTTTCCTTTGTTACTTGGTTTTTAATATTATTTTATCATTTTAATTTCTTTGTTAACCATTTATATTTCCTTTGTTACTTGTGTTATGTATTGAGGCTCCCTAATGTTCAGCTCCGACTGGATGGACCACCCTCGTAAAATATTGTTGAAATAAAATAAAATAAAAACAAATTAGTTGCACATTTTATAGTTAAGTTTGTTTCATGATGTGTGAAAAACACATACAGCCTCGTGTTGTCTTACCTCTAGTGTGGAAGATGGTTTTCCTTTTCTCCTTTTTTTGGAGAATGGAGAGAACACACGCCTAATTAATTTCTGGGTTCTCGTTCTTTTAGGCATGTGTGCTGGTGCTGGTAGAGGGGCTGGTTGAGGTGCTGGTTCTGGTGCTGGTAGAGGTGCTGGTTCTGGTGCTGGTAGAGGTGCTGGTTCTGGTAGAGATGCTGGTTGAGCTGCTGATTCTAGTGCTGGTTGAGGTGTCGATTCAACTCCCTCTGTTTGATTACTTTTTAGTTTTAATTTCTCAGCAACTCTACCTTCTAATTCATTATCATATATCAGCTTAATCCGTTCACACTCTATATTTAAAATAACAGTGAAATTCATCAAAGCTCAAGTCATAACACATAACAAAAGGATTTAAAGTTATATTGTTTCTTGTCTTACCGTCCATGTCCTCAGTTTCTTTCCACTTACAACCAACACCAGTAGTTTGGAAAGCAGTAGTCAAAACAATTCCATCCGTTGATGGTTCTGCTTCATTAAATCTATGGAAATAACAGTCTAACACAATTTAGCATTACAAATTGTGTATGTGGGTCGAGTGGAGTGGCCGAGCGGTAAGGCAGGGGCGCCGCTAGCTACAGCTTAAGTTTAACATCGGCGCTGGTTCCAGCTACTCCTCGTTTATGGTTCGGTTGGTAGAACCAAGTCTTCTCGGATAAGGACTTAAAATGGAGGTCCAGTGTATACATCTGACTCGTGTGCACTTTAAAGAAGAGTAGGGGGTTACCCTGATGTTATGGTTCATTTCAGCTCCTGTTGTTGTGGAATGATGTGAACATGTATCTACAAAGAAGCGCCTCTTCACGGCTGCTTGATAGTCACTGACCATGCCCATTTGCAATTCAGCACAATGACGCTGCAAGTTATGGGTTATTCTCCAACCTTTACCTTTACCTTTATGTTAAAGTGGATATTGTAGTATAAGTGCAATGGTGGATTTTGAGGAGGGCATTGCAAGTATCTTCGTATGAATTTTAGATTTCATATATATTTGCAATTTATTGATTTATTGATGATTGGGCTGTGGATTACATGGAGGAATAGCGGTATGACTAATGAACATTTGTTCATTTTGAAACAATAATTGTTTTCATCCAGGTCCAGAGTATAACCCACTTCTGTGGCCATCATAATGTATTGTAATATATATAAAAAGAACATAAAATACAATTAACATTTAAGAGTATTAAAATAGAAGAGTAATTAAAAAAGAAGAGTAATATGGCAACATTTATACCAAAATACATTGACAGATACTTCAGAAACTTACGGTTTTTCAAGCAGAGTGTTTACCAAACACGTTTTTCCAACGCCCTCCTTTCCAGTCACCATTAATCGTGCGTGGTTTACTGTAATTTTCCCATCTTCCAACTCCTCATTAAAAACCTTCAGAGCTGCTTCTCCTCTAGCCATAATTACTTCTGGGACTGCAATCCCTAATTTACATAGGCAAGAAGATAATGTTGCTCATCAATTATCAACAAAGTATAGAGAAATTATTAAATATGTTGGTTAAGTACAAATAAAATTCTTAAAAAAAAAAAAAAATAATAAAGAAAACACAATCATATGGAAAATGTTTCATTATTATAAAATTTCAAATAGTTGTTTATAACTAAAATTGAAAAAATATAATTAGATATTGTGAAATAATATGACTTGCTTACTAATATTATCATAGAATAATATCATCCCCATCATCACTGTCATCATCACCATAGCCACCATCATCATCATCAATATTTTATAAAATTAATATTACAACATTTGGAAGAAAGCAAATAATGGTATTAGCATAATTTTCCAGTGCAACAAAACTTTGCTGATATAAAATACATTAGGCCGACCAGCCCCTTAAACTAACGTTAGAATACTGCACTTTCGGCGGTAAAGAACAATTAAAACCTCATAAAAAAGGCAACTAATCCGTTTACCTATAATTGAATCCAAGGACACCAGTGTTAAACACTCAGTACTTATCCTTGATAATGTGTTAATCCAATTAATATAGTGAACAAAGCAGGTACATGGGATTGATGATGACCCACAAGGAGTAACCATCTGTGATGTAGGGTGTACGGTAAGAATGGCCCCGGAAAAAATGGCCCCGGAAAAAATGGCCCCGGAAAAAATGGC